CATTAAAACCTTTGACAAGTCTAGAAGTAAGGCTACACAGTGTCTCCTACAATCTACAGCTGAAACCATCAATAACCATCACCAGCTTTACTGTTCTGGTTCTGTTGTCAATATTTTCTCTCCACCTCTGAAACACTTTGCCAATATTGCCGTGTTTTATTTTGTTTGATGTCAGAATCTTTATTACTTTCTTTAGACTTTTAGCTTGTCATCCTTTTGGGTTGGTGCAAAAAGCATTTTCTCCATTGGCTATAATTGGAAAAGAGACGTCTGTAAAACTATTGATGGGACACATCGAATTGCAAACAAGGTCAATGACTATTTCCATTATGATTTTTTTTCATCCATGGAGGTTTTATATTTGTAAAACAAAAACAGAACCAAACTTTACCCTAGCTTTAACAATGTCAAATCATAGTCAGTTGTAGAATAACCAAAGAATTCACTCGAGGAGCTTTATTTTGCTTTTGCCTGTTCAATTTCAGAAAACAGCAGCTGATCTAGTTTGTTACGTGAAGTCCAGCACTAGCCCTCATCCTCCCAGCCAGCAGGAAATTGCTTGAATTCCCTCAGTAGCAAAAGAGATTGCGTAGTTTTAGCATTTGAGGCATGCAGAGTTGTCGGGAGATTGGCTGAATACTGTTCTCTTGGATGTAGAGATTTTTTTGAAGAGGGAAGACAATCATGGAAGAGGGTTGAAGCTGACATTGCTTCTTTTGTCAGTACTCACCTTATTTTGTGTGAGGACTGGCATGGAGACAACTTGGAGTGTTTTCTCTCGTTAGCCTGGCTTCATCATGCAGCTCAGAGCAGCAGCTCCTTCCCTTTTCTCTCTCTGTTCTCTCCACTGGGGGAACACAAAGCAATCAATGCTAATGAGCCAAGCCAGTCTCCCTCCACAAATAAAAAGCTAATGAAAGGCTGAGAGATGTTGAACCATGCACACCACAGTTATTTCTGGTTGGGAAGCAGCGGCCCAGCAGCCGCCCTCTGTCCTTTCATAAATCAACATTTTTCCCCATCTCACCATCAGCCTCCTTGGCTGGCCCTCCTCAACATACACCAAGTGTGCGACAGTGTGGGATACTCAGCTAGCCAAATGTTCACATGCTGTACGCCTTATCTTCAGGGAAGGCTTCAATATGCTCATTGATTTAATGAGAATATGGAGTTAGATTAAAAATTGCTGCAAAACAATATCAGACAAGGATTGTTAAATTGGCTAGAGCTTGGGGGCGGAGCACAGAGCTCGGTTTTCTTCAACCGTGCCTGCCAGTGTCTGTCAGGAGGCTGCATGGGAAATTAGACAAATTATATAAACACAGCAGTTTTCTCAGTGCTCTCAATTAAAATCAAACACCACTGTTGTCCACTTGGACTTCATAATTGTTTTGACACACACCCTTGTCCCCCTTCAAATCAGTACAAAGCTTTATTGTATAATAAACAATGTAATTTGATATGAAGTCCCGGAGGACGCAATCAAACAAGACTAAAGGTGTAATTACATATTGGATGTTTTCTTTGGCTTTAATTAAGTTGTAGTTTTGATTTCACATTGCACTATTGCAAACAAATCCAGCTTTATACACAAACTGAATGTGATTGTAGTTCCTTCATTTTAGGAACTGACAGGATTGCATTTCACTGAAACTGTATCTTATATGACTTGATTTGACTGATTGATTGATTTATTAATTGATTGATGTGGCAAGATTCAGGAAAGTTTGGCTTGCCTTTCCTTGATTTTAAATGAATGAATATAAAAATGAATATACTGAATCCTTTTCACCTCAATGTTAAAGGGAAATTTCGGTTTATTTCAACCTGTCTCCTATCGTCCTAAATTTGTTTCAAGTGACTAGTGACATAAAAATAATAGTTAGCATGTTAGCTGTTAGCCTAGATACAGTCGGGGCGCATAGTAGTGTCAGACCTGTTAAAACGTAAGTGAACGGGCAACCTTCAAGCGCAAAGTTAGTCCACTAAACAAGCTTTTTTTTCCACAGAGACCACCTCATATCGTTAGGATAAATGTCAGAGAACATATAGAAAACGACATGTAAACGTGTTGTCTTACCTTACCGGTGTGGTGCCATGTTTGTTTACCATCTAGCTCTGCTTTCCAAAGCGCGGCCGAAATATCGCGAGAACAAGCAGCGACAGCTGGAAGGCAGAACCGGACAGTAGCCTGAAAAGTTGATTCATTTATTTTATGAAAGATTTATAGAATAATGGCTGACTTTTTGCCAGACTTCGACTTTGTGGAGGAGGAATTTGATTTTGCAGAGTTTGATGGCCGCCTTTATTTATTTGAGCCAGAATACACTGACGAAGAGCTACGTGAAATTGAAGAACGGAGGAGGAGAGAGAGAGAGAGGCACAACAGATAGAGGACGAGAGAGGAGGAATGGCTGCTGCAAGGCTGCGTAGCTCTGGAGATTGGTGGTGTACCTGTGAATGCTGTGCCCCAGTGCCCACAGAAAAGGAATGCCTCTGTGGCAAGGAATGGGACCGGTTGCAGCCTTATTTTCAAGGTCTGGATGTGACCGAGGACGAGACACCTCCACCTGGAGTAGTATCCAGCTGGGCTTTACCTAGAGCTCGCGAGATATATTTCGGCTGTGCTTTGGAAAGCAGAGCTAGATGGTAAACAAACATGGCACCACACCGGTAAGGTAAGACAACGCGTTTACATGTCGTTTTCTATATGTTCTCTGACATTTATCCTAACGATATGAGGCGGTCTTTGTGGAAAAAAACCTTGTTTAGTGGACTAACTGCACTTGAAGGTTGCCCGTTCACTTACGTTTTAACAGGTCTGACGCTACTATGCGCCCCGGCTGTATCTAGGCTAATGACTAACATGCTAACTATTATTTCTATGACACTAGTCACTTGAAACAAATTTAGGACGATAGGAGACAGGTTGAAATAAACCGAAATTTCCCTTTAACTATGCTAACTGATGAAATTATCATCATTGGCTGTAGAAATCCAAGATAGCATCAAATAACATTGAAGAACTGCACAGACCATCAGCAGTTGTCAATATATTCTGATACTGTACATATATCACCAAGGACAATCTTAGTTTTCATATTTTTTCTGTGTAAAATTGCTGCAGTGAACATGACTGCTGACATCATGGTATCTGCAACACACTCTGCCTTCTCCAGTTACCTCACCACCACATATCTTCACCTCCTGCACATATGGATTGTGTAAATGCAACCTGGTCTCTGTAATCTTCGTATAAACAACATAACTTTTCACTTTGAAATTAACATGCAATGTTTAACAAAGCCCACAACAAAACTTCAGTAAATAAATAAATTAATTGTGATTACATATCAGACTTGCATTTTCAAGTAATATCAGAGAGTAGGGGGGTACCACTAGTTGTTGCAATCATTTTGGCGAGGTGTGAAGCAGTCTGATTGTTCTAAACTAGGGATGCACAATATTGGATTATTATTGCAAATATCGGATATGGTGATATATAACAACTATGTGGCCGATAACCGATAGTGATTTATCCAGTTTTTTTCCCCACCTAATTTTAGTGATCATCAAGTCTCTTCTTTAGTGGAACTAATATCATATTATGCGTGCATACTTTTATCGTGATGGCCCACCAGCAGATGGAGACATGAAATAGAACATTTTTCTATATATATGTTATTCATTCACTGTGCAAAATAAGAAAAAGCCTGTTGGCCGATTTGGACAGTTCATTTAAAGCCAGTATTGGCCGATACCGATGACATGCTGCTATTGTTGTGCATCCCTACTGCAAACAAAAATGCTGTGGTGACATTCTGTTTTTGCCATGATTCACTGTAAAGACTCGCTGATGAAAAGGCTCATTTCTGTGCATCAACATTCATGAGGTGCTTTGCATTGACCATTTATGGTTGAATGTGGGCATGTAGAGGGCGGGATATGAGGCTGATCCACATGAGCTCATTTCCAGGTAGAGTTTGAATTGACTAATCTAACTATTCATTTTTCGATTAGTTTAACAATTATTTTTTCGATTATCGATTATTTTTCCATTATTTGATTAATGAGGCAATTTAAACAATATCAATACCAAATTCACCCCAGCCCTAAATGTAATGCTCTGCAGGGAAATCTTGGGTTCTGGCCTTCATATGGATGTCCCCTGACACGCTCCACCCACCCAAACACTGTTGTAGACTTAGAACAACCCCCTCATGGCAACGGCACTCCCAGAATGCAGTGAACCCCAGCAGGACTAAGGGCCATTCCACACTGCAAAAAATTAGGAATGGCCCGAAGATCCCGACAGAGCTCAAAGCGTCAGCCTAGCTGCCAAATTTTCCAGATCCCAATTTGATCATCATCTGTGGGACGCACCGCACCCCACTTTACAACCCCACAGGACTCAAAGAATTCCGTGCCAATGTCCTGGTGCCAGACAACACAGAACAACCCTTGAAGTCCTGTGTCCATACCTCAACAGGCCAGAGCCAAGTCTGATCCAAGAAGGCCTGACCCTGGATCAGACTTGGCTCTTGGGTACTGTTATGTCTCGAAGCTGCTCGATCGAATTGGGATCTGGGGAATTTGGAGCCCAAGTCAACCCCGAGCTCTTTGTCACATTCCTTGGGCCATTCCTAAACAGTTTTTGCAGTGTGGCATAGTGCATTGTTCTGCTGGGGGGCAACTGCCATTGGGGAGTGCCATTGCCATTGAAGGGGTGCTCTGTCATCAGCAGTGTTTGGGTGGGTGGTGCGTGTCAAGTGGCATTCACATGAATGCCAGGACCCAAGGTTTCCCAGCAAAACATTGCACGGTAACAAGATGATCAGTGATATTCACTTCACCTGTCAGTGGTTTTAATATTTTGGCTCATCGGTGTATGTTGCCATTGTGTGTAATCACATTATTTACATGTGGTCTCCATGAATATAACCAAATGAATAAGGGCATGCTTCATGTGACCTCACACTAATAAAGATTTTTTCTTCCAGAGGCGGGCTCTCTGCTGGAGTCCTTGATGGAGGGGGACTTCGAGGCGGTCCTGCTGAGCCCCCAGGTGTTAGATCTGCTCACTGGAGATGGCAGCTGCAGCGAGGGGGAGGACATCGAGGCCCACCTGGAGAAACGAGTCCTGCTTTACCTTACTTCTGGCACCAAGGACGACCAGAACAACAGGTAATACAGCAGGAAAGGACACCAGCCATCAAATCAACTGGACGATTTCCCAAATACAGTATGTTTTAACTGTGGTAGCTGGTAGGGGTGGGAATCACCACAGGCTCCACGATACGATATTATCAGGATACTTGGGTCACGATACAATATTATTGTGATTTTAAAGGTGCTGCAATATGCTGAGTATTGCTATACAACATATTATATTTTGCAGTTTACTACCTTTTTCAATCGTAAATTATGTCCTCGAAGGAAAATTTTGTCAACATGCATATTATCTAATAAGAGAAAGTTTTCAGTCTGTTCATCTCACTTAAGTCATTTTATTTGCAGCAAAATGTATGTAGTGGAGTGAAAAAGCAATTGATTATACTTACTAGTAAGCTAGCTAAAATTTAATTTGTATTTGTAATATTAATAATTTATAAAAAAAAAACAACAACAAAACAAATGATACTTGACACTGTGTGACAATATGATATTGCCACACAAAAATATCACAACACTATGCTGTTTAGATTTTTTTCCCCACCCCTAGTAGCTGGTAGACAGTACATTTGTAAATGTGTACTCCTGTAACCGTCAAAGGTTTAAGCTATATACATGCATGTAAGTATCCAACAATCCAGGTGCACATCTGTATCTATTTGACGTGGGCTATGGAGCCTCCTTACACTTTTATTTTCGTGTGTGTGTGTGTGCGCCTTTGTGTCATTCTGGGTCCCCTCTTTAAAGGGGACCCAGAGATTTTTGCAGCTCCTTAAATGCAGCACAGCCGGCATTCTTGATGAGTTCTTTCTTCTTTCAGTAGCAGTATGTGGAGTTTCAGTTGCAGGGTGGTTAACTCATCAGTCGATCCAGTCAGCTGTATAGATGAGAGGAGCAGCTGCTGCAGAAGTGAGGGAAAGCACATTTTCAGACCCAGCGCAACAAACTGTTAAGTTTCACTGTCACAGCACCTGGCGATCTGCTGCTGGGCCTGGTTCCCATTCAAAAAAGTTTGGACACCCCTGACATACAAAGTCAACCTAAAGACTTGAATAACCATGAGGTCCGCCGGCCAATGTGTATGTGTGTAATTTGCTAGCTTGCTAATAAATACCACAAAATATGATGTTATTAGTACATTTTCCAGTTTCTTTAATTCCATGCCTGTCTCCCAGCTCACTGCCAGTGAGGGGGCGTTTGTATTTTTCATGGCCAATATCATACAGTATCAGCTGGTTAAACATGGCAACAATTGGTGTCTCCTCCACACACACTTCTTTGCTGTTGGTTGAGGCTGTGACTTCACCTGTTGAACTTGACGCGATGAGAAGATGAAAATTTGCTTTGCCACCAGAAGCAAATGTTTTATTCACACCTCATTTTCACTGAATGGAAGTAAACTGGAGGCAAATAATCGCCAATGTTAATTTCACTCATGTCTGACAATATGCTGATAGTATGAACAACAATAAAGAGTGTTGTCATCTTGTTTAAGAGCATGGAGCTTCAGTGTTCACCTTGTTTACATCACTTGATTGCAGCTATCAGTTGTACTTTATTATGAACCAAGGAAGCACTGATTTTTGAGCTAGCTGTTAAGGGTGAATATTTGGTAGTTGCGAAATACTCTAAAAAACACTCCAGCAGCCATATTCACATTGGTAACACAAGTTAGGTTAGGATTAGGTGTGACCACACCATTACGCCTCGTTTCCACTTAAGTATGTACACGGAGACAAATCAACCAGAAGTCCATTTATTCTTTTGGGAATCTCCGTGATATCCGATGTGCCTGCGAAACTCCTTCCCTCCGTAATATTTCGGTCCAGAATTTGTCTTGAGTTAGTTAAAAAAAAGGAAAAACTTTTGTGGTGGATTTCAGAGAGATAGTATGATAGTGTACTAGCTTAGCTATCAGGCTATTTCCTTCACTTCAGTTGGTAGACCTGATCTATCCATCCATAAAGAAATGCACTTCCTTTCCTTGGACACTAAGGGCATCATTGGTGTATTTACAGATCTACGGACGCTAGTCTCAAGTGGAAACGAGGTGTAAGGGTAGGCCCTTGAATACATGTGCACTCTCCATTAAAACACAGTGGCTTTCCCAATTAGCTTTTAATTATGACAATTGGAAGCCTCAAAAAGTAATTCCATCAATTTCTGTAATCTTCCATACAGTTCAAAGAGACAGTCAACATGGTGTATTCAAAAAACTCTTTTGTCGCTATAGGTAATTTTATCCATCCATTGTGTCCATTATTTTTACAGTTGATGGTAGATACCCTGTTGACTTAAGACATGAAATGTATGGTAACATGAAATGTGGAGTTGTGAATAATTGGGTTTTAATGTCTTTAGCCTGGGTAGTGTCTCTCCACATTGACCTGATGAGGTGGGTTGGGCAGTAAAAGTAGTGGAGTGTAGCACAAAACTGATCTCAGGGGTGCTTGTTTGTTCTCTTTTCACCGCCTTTGTTGTAAATGATTAAATTTTAATAAGGACAGCTTAACATCTTCCTTGTCGCACTCAGGGGAGAAGTGTCAATGAGTAAATGTTGAATGCAGCACATATTGCTCCTCCTCTGACTGGATCCCTTTCCTCTCTTCTATCACCTTCCATCACTTTCTCAGTCTAATTGAAAGGCAGCAAAGCATGTCACTGCTCACTACCTGTTTTAAAAACCCTCTAATTGCCTGGAGAGTCAGATGACAGCTAGAAAAAGACGTCACTGTGCTTTTCTATAAACACGTGTGAGCATCTGTTAATACCTTTAGGATGTTTGTTTTTTTTCATTCTTGAAGCATCTTTAGATATCATCACGTCTCTACAGTGTTTCTTTCCACTGAGTCCAGTGTGTGTTTTGTCTGTCCTGCTGCAGGGAGCTGGCAGTGATGGCCCTGGCTGTGTCTTGCCTCCACATGTTTGCCCAGAGTAACTGGACTGGTCCTCCTGTCTCCATCCATGTCTCTGACCTGCTGCCTCAGGCCCTGCTCTCCTCTCAGGTCTGATACCATCTCATCACACTCTCTTTTGTGTCATGTATCATCCTGTGATCCTGTGGGCATTTTATATCACCAAGTTTACTCAAAAGTTAAACAGTTTTGATCAGTTTGTGCCAAAGCCACATTTACAAATACATTAAAATCCAATCATTAGCTGAAATCATGATAATTAAGTTAAGTGTTTAAACCATTTTTTGTCAATTTTGGAACATTACTCCTAGGGTTAGTACTGGGACCAGAGTTAGATACTTTCACTGTAGTAATGCTCTTGAACATGCATAAGGTATTTTAAAAAGGAAACTGGAGTGGCCCATCCTTAATGCAGTACAAAGCATTTTGAAGGGTGCTAATGTCGGTGAAACTGAGCTCACATTTTTGTGATTAATATTGACAATCTCATCCAAAAAATCTCTGTTATACTACAGGCTTTCCTAGCTCATATCGACCAGTCTGTATTTATAATTTTAAGTGTTTGTGGAGCCTGTTTGAATTGAACTGACCTTTCTTTATTAAACAATTTAGATCATTATGGCCCCATCAGGCCAACATTTAAAAGCAGATCTGCTTGAAACGTGATGATATCCTCATCACTTCGCCTGTCTTCAGTGAACCCCTACTACGATATTATTGCATCAATCAAATGTATTAACCCTAGTTGTTAATGTGAATTTTTTGGCTACCTAAATTGTGCTTGGTTATGCTTTCATTCAGGTGTTACAAGAAAGTTAACCCAGTGTACATGAAGTATTGCAATCCTCCTGTAGGAATACTTCACCCCCAAATGATTATTTGTATATCAATTACTCACCCTGTGTTTTACGCGGAAATCAGGGAATACTTTGTTTTTCTCACGTGCCTCCACAGTGACTAAAGAATCCAAAAAAGGTGAACATTTATGATGACTGAGGATCTTATTTTAGATTTTTGTCTAACACTCCCATGCAGAAATTTCTAATTCAGTATGTTTTTATGACCACATTTGCTATGTTACACACATTTTTTTAACCTGTATATGTTACAATGAGCTAGTGTCCTTGTGGAGATCATTTAACCTTGGTCTTATCAGCATGATCAGCTTTCATTTATTTTGGGAAAAAATCCAGATGAATTAGGTTTTTAGGGACATTAAATTTTTTTCTTGTTCCCAGATTGATTAAACCTACATGACAATGGCTGTGCCATGTTTGTCCTCCCTTTTACCTGAGCTATCATGCATATATGGAGGACCTGCTCTATAACACAGGCTCCTTGGTGTGACAGCACAGATAAATCATTGATGCCAAAGGAATTACTTGGATAAAAGAAATGGCCGTCTCTTCTAGTGTAATGGCAGTGTGAAACGCACTACTCTGTCAGTAGTATGCTGTCAGCACCGCAGTGTCTAGAGGAGGCAATCTCCTCAACCCGGTGTAATTAGGACCCCAGAGATGCTTCATTACTGGAGACTATTCCTGCACTGTGCCCGTCCACAGCTCTTCTGGTTCTGCTCTGGCTCGGCAATGCTTCAAAATTAAAAAATATTATATGCAACCAATCAGTAAATGTAGGAAATGTGTTTACATCCTCGTTCCAAATTATAATCAAATTTGCTTTTTAACCATTTGGCGTAGACAACTGGCTGTGTCATGAATGTAATTGTTCACACACTTGCCTATATACTACGCACTATGCAGAGGGAACACCACAGAACTAAATGTATAGCTTCCAGATTTGCATGATATAACAAATAAACATGGCAACACTCTATACTATACTGTCAATTCTGAGATCACAGCAGAAAGAGTGAAAGCCACACCATCATAGACAATATCCAAAAGGCCCATAAATCAAGCATGCTGTGACAATGGGGAGTATGTCATCACGCCGCAGCCGCCACCACCAATTCACCATTGGCAGCGATTCAACATTTGGCTTATTCAACATGTTCAACAAAAGCTCTGCAGATCCCCTCAACTCTACAGACAGTTTTAGTGCCTTTCAGCTTGTTGTTTTGGGTTTATGGCCTGCAGCTTTGTTTCGTTCTTTGCTCCCATCGACCTTGTCTTTTCAGCATGCAGCTGTTTTCAGAGAAAAAAGCTCTAAAACTCATTCGACCACCTTGTATCAAGCAGCTGGTGAACATAGTGGAGCATTTACTGTAGGAGTTAAAGAGACAGACCTTTCCCTCGGAAGTTGGTGGAGCCCAAAACAGAGCTAATGGGAGAGTGAGCATTGAACTTATGTTTGTTAGGTGGACAGAAAACAAAATCGCAGCTCAAAGATTAATTTCAGTATTTTTGGACTGTCTGTGTAGATATTTGATTAAGTTGGTTTGACGGTGTTTCTGCTTAATAGTGCATTAAATTTAAATTAAATTTTTGTCGACTGTGTAGCCTTCTCTTTTTGTGAGTCTGTAGTGTTTATAGTAACCAATCACAGACTATCTAGATAGATATAGATACATTATAAAGATAAACAGATAAATCATAGACATGTAGTTGTTAATGTGGTATTATGGGTATTCCTATCAAAGACACGCAAAAAATTCTGAACAGACGCAAGACAACCCTTTTCTCTTTTGATATGAAAAGGACAAGAAACCATGATCAATCACAGTGTCTGTCTATGAGTTATGATAAGATTAAGCACAAGGTCACCATCAGTGTAGGATCCGCTGTCATGGCAGGTGTTTTTCACAGAGGACATCTTGACATATCACAATAGAAAAGCACAGGTCTAAGTAATAAATGGCTGAATCCCATATAGCTGCTTCAGTTTCAGGGTCCTGGTATTGTGCATGCTGGCATATTATCATGGCTTACTGAGACACTTGGCTCAACAGAATAGAGGCAGCGTTGAAATTACTAAAAAAACACCTGTATTTTTCCTACTACAACTAGTTAAAATCTGTGTTGTGAAAACCGGCTATTGTGCTGGGTTGTTGTGGTGCAGAGGAAACTAGGCATGGAGCCAAAGTTTTTGATTTTCCGGCCAATCTGCCCTCCAACCCTCTTTGGCTGTTAGATTTTGCTAATGACAGAAAGGAAGGATGAGATCATAAATGAAAGCAGCTGAAATTAGTCTTACTCAGTACGTGCCTGGCCTCACTGTTAGTGTAAGAATACCTCTGTATGCAGGTATGCTTGGTACGGTCACCTGAGATAAGAACCTGGATCAGACAATGAACACACTGGGGTTATATATCCCATCTGGAATATGAACACTTCGGGATCTTCTACTAAGAGCTGGAGGATGTGGATGGTGAACAGAGCCTGCTCTGGGCTACTGGGAATTATTTCTAGCCATCTGCTTAATGACTCAGATCTGGATAAACAGCTGACAATGGATGAATGGATGGATAGCTGTATTGTAGGAGTTACTGCAATAAAAAGATTTGTTTCCTTGCTTCTGGGCTTAACTGTTTAAGTATGCAAAGGTGTGTATTAATCAGCAACACTTTCTAATACAGAAACTCTCCACTGAAGTGTGATTTAATGGTGTGTGCCTGAAACCACTAGGCCACAGGGATGTTAGTGACAACATTTTGAATGAAGATACTTGTTGAGATGGTAAAAACTGGAATGATCCTTACCTTACGGAGACTTCTGGTCATCATCCTAACACAAAACTAGAGCTTGAATGATAAATCAACAAGGCACATATATTGGCCAATGTTACCTTAAAGGATAACTTTGGTATTTTTCAACCTGGGCCCTATTTCCCCATGTGTATGTGTGCCTATGATTCATAGGTACAACTCATTTTAAAATTGGTTTAGTATTGAGGGAGGCGGATGCAGCCGGCAGCCGCGAGGTAGATATGGGGGCAAATGCGTCCCGTATAAGTTTGCGCATTAAAAGTGCTTTTTTTCCCCCACTTACCGGTTCAGATTGCCAGTGCTATCTCTGTAAATAGCATACTAAGCGTTTCCCTGACCCTTCACCAATAAAGTTATCTGGAAGCCTGTGCAAGCCTCTGTCTCACTCAGACTCGGTCTGGGTCTGGGTCTGGGTCTGCAGCTGCCTGTAACAGAGAGCAGAGTGAGAGCCAAGAGCCCTGACTAGGGCTGGGTTAAAATAACCGATTCACCCTATTCAAATCGATCTTCATTTAAATGACCTGACATCGATTCATAAAATGTGAGATCGATCTTTTAATATACACTTTTTTCCACAGACGCGTGAAGCTTTAACCATGTTAATCTAGAAGGTAGTAAATGGGTGCCACGGCTAAATGATTAATGCCTGTTGTCTTGAGAAGCTCCGACATTACTTGCTCTATTATCTGTTACTATTGGCTTACTTTTGTATGTTTTAGTGTAATTAATTAGCATGCCGCGTCACTTTTACGTACACACACACACACACACACACACACAGACACACACACACACACAATTCCAGTGGGTTAGATCACCACATGATTCCCGAGCACGGCACCACTGCTGCTCACTGCTCCCTCAGGGGATGGGTCAAATGCGGAGAACAAATTTCAGACACACAGATGGAGTTGAGATGCCGCTGTGGAGACAGAGGTGAATGTAACTTGAGCAGACAAGTACTTTATCAATACACCTGATCAGCAACACGTAAACATATAGAAAAGTGATATTTCAGTCTGGGTTCGGTGCAATGTGGATTGGGCAGCAGACCAAGGCGGGGGCCTTGGCAGTCCGATCCTCGGTTACAGAAGTTGGCTCTTGGGACATGGAATGTCACCTCTCTGGTGGGGAAGGAGCCGGAGCTTGTGGAAGAGGTTGAGCGCTACCGGCTAGATATAGTCGGCCTTACCTCGACACATAGTTCCAGCTCTGGAACCCTAGTCCTTGAGAGGGGTTGGACTCTCTCCTTCGCTGGAGTTGCTCCGGGTGAGAGGCGGAGGGCCGGGGTGGGCTTTCTGATAGCCCCCAGACTCTCTGCCTGTACGTTGGGGTTTACCCCGGTAGACGAAAGGGTTGCTTCCCTGCGCCTTCGGGTCGGGGAACGGGTCCTGACTGTTGTCTGTGCTTATGCACCGAACAACAGTTCAGAGTACCCACCCTTTTTGGAGTCCCTGGGACGGGTGCTGGACAGTGCCCCGACCGGGGACTCCATTGTTCTGCTGGGGGACTTCAACGCTCACGTGGGCAATGACAGCGGGACCTGGAGGGGCGTGATTGGGAGGAACGGCCTGCCCGATCTGAACCCGAGTGGTGTTCAGTTATTGGACTTCTGTGCGGGTCGCAGTTTGGCCATAACTAACACCATGTTCAAACATAAGGATGTCCATCGGTGCACGTGGCACCAGGACAGCCTAGGTCGCAGGTCAATGATCGACTTTGTAGTCGTATCATTTGACCTGCGGCCATATGTTCTGGACACTCGGGTGAAGAGAGGAGCAGAGCTGTCAACTGATCACCACCTGGTGGTGAGTTGGATCAGATGGTGGGGGAAGACGCCGCGCAGACCTGGCAGGCCCAAACGAACAGTGAGGGTCTGCTGGGAACGCCTGGCGGAAGAACCTGTCCAGATGATCTTCAACTCCCACCTCCGGGAGAGCTTCGACCGCGTCCCGAGGGCAGAGGGGGACATTGAGTCCGAATGGGCCTTGTTCCGCTCTGCCATTGTCGAGGCGGCGGTTGCGAGCTGTGGCCGCAAGGCCGCTGGGGCCAGTCGCGGCGGTAATCCCCGAACCCGCTGGTGGACACCAGAGGTGAGGGGAGCCGTCAGGCTGAAGAAGGAGGCCTACAGGGCATGGTTGGTCTGTGGGTCTCCGGAAGCAGCTGACGGGTACCGGCGGGCCAAGCGGAGCGCAGCGGCGGCAGTCGTGGAGGCAAAAACTCGGGCGTGGGAGGAGTTCGGTGAGGCCATGGAGGAAGACTATCGATCGGCTCCAAAGAGGTTCTGGCAAACCGTCCGGCGCCTCAGGGGGGGAAGGCGGCAACTTGCTCACACTGTTTACAGTGGGGGCGGGGAGCTGCTGACGTCAACTGGGGACATTGTCGGGCGGTGGAAGGAATACTTTGAGGAGCTCCTCAATCCCACCAACACGTATTCCAGTGAGGAAACAGAGACGGGGGTCTCGGGGGCGGGTCGTCCAATTTCTGGGGCAGAAGTTGCTGAGGTAGTGAAACAACTCCGAGGCGGCGGAGCCCCGGGGGTGGATGAGATTCGTCCTGGATATCTCAAGGCTCTGGATGTTGTAGGGCTGTCCTGGCTGACACGCCTCTGCAACATTGCGTGGACATCGGGGGCAGTGCCTCTGGAGTGGCAGACCGGGGTGGTGGTCCCCATTTTCAAGAAAGGGGACCAGAGGGTGTGTTCCAACTACAGGGGGATCACACTCCTCAGCCTACCCGGTAAGGTCTACTCCAGGGTGCTGGAGAAGAGGGTCCGGTCGATAGTTGAACCTCAGATTGAGGAGGAGCAATGTGGTTTTCGTCCCGGACGCGGAACCGTGGACCAGCTCTTTACCCTCGCCAGGGTGCTGGAGGGGGCATGGGAGTTTGCCCAACCAGTCCACATGTGTTTTGTGGATTTGGAGAAGGCTTACGACCGTGTCCCCAGGGGCATCCTGTGGGGGGTGCTCCGGGAGTATGGGGTTGGTGGCCCCTTGCTAAGGGCCATCCAGTCCCTGTACCGAAGGAGCATGAGTCTGGTTCGCGTGGCTGGCAGTAAGTCGGACCTGTTCCCGGTGAGGGTTGGACTCCGCCAGGGCTGCCCTTTGTCACCGGTTCTGTTCATAACTTTTATGGACAGAATTTCTAGGCGCAGCCGAGTGGTGGAGGGTGTCAGGTTCGGTGACGGGAGGATCTCGTCCCTGCTTTTTGCGGATGACGTGGTCCTCCTAGCTCCATCGAACAGTGACCTCCAGCTCTCGCTGGGGCGGTTCGCAGCCGAGTGTGAAGCGGCTGGGATGAGAATCAGCACTTCCAAGTCTGAGGCCATGGTCCTCAGCCGGAAAAGGGTGGATTGTCCACTCCAGGTCAGGGGGGAGGTCCTTCCTCAGGTGGAGGAGTTTAAGTATCTCGGGATCTTGTTCACGAGTGAGGGTAGGATGGAGTGGGAGGTTGACAGGCGGATTGGGGCGGCGTCAGCAGTGATGCAGGTGCTTAACCGGTCCGTTGTGGTGAAGAGGGAGCTTAGCCAGAAAGCGAAGCTCTCAATTTACAGGTCGATCTACATTCCAACCCTCACCTATGGTCACGAGCTCTGGGTAGTGACCGAAAGAATGAGATCGCGAGTACAAGCGGCCGAAATGAGTTTCCTCCGCAGGGTGGCTGGGCTCAGCCTTAGGGATAGGGTGAGGAGCTCAGACATCCGGGAGGGACTCGGAGTAGAGCCGCTGCTCCTCCACATCGAGAGGAGCCAGTTGAGGTGGTTCGGGCAACTGGTAAGGATGCCTTCCGGACGCCTCCCTTGGGAGGTGTTTCGGTCATGTCCAACTGGGAGGAGACCTCGGGGCCGCCCCAGAACATGCTGGAGGGACTACATCACCCGGCTGGCCTGGGAACGCCTCGGGGTTCCCGCGGAAGAGCTGGCGGAAGTGGCTGGGGAGAGGACTGTCTGGGCTTCTTTGCTGAGGCTGCTGCCCCCGCGACCCGGACCCGGATAAGCGGAAGACGATGACGACCACGACGACGACGACGACAACGACGATATTTCAGTCTCTCATCCACCGCTGCTAATATTTTGTTATAAACAAGCACAGAGGGTTTTCCAGCTAATAGCAAATTGTTACTAACAAGCTAAAACAACAACTGTTTACGTCTTGGTTTAGCTCAGTTTGCCACATATCTTAAAACTTACCAACAGTAATGTGACCTGCAGTAAATCTCCTCAGCAGCAGAGGGAGGAGCAGAGAGGACAGCAGGACTGATACTGACTGACTGTGTTCTTCATTCCTTCTGAACTTTACTCAGTATTGTGATGTCAGGAATATGGTCAATTTTACTGACATTTTAGATTTGTTTCTAGTGAGATATTGAGTTTATATTGTGACATTGCTGTTTCAATATTACTGTTGCTGCTCTAGAAACAACATTTAGTTATAAAATATTCAGTTGTATTCCTGTAAAATTTACAGCATTAGCTCTCTGAGAATCTCTTTTACATACTAAACAAATTGTCGTTTTAACTGAAATGTTCCCAATTGAATTGATATCGAATCAGAAAATCGAATTGATTCAGGAAATCAGTGGCGACACGCAGCTCGAGCACTCACTCTGCTGCTAAATCTGGGGGCTGAAATGTCCCCAAAAGTGCACTGCACACTGACTGATAAAAACAGAACAAAAACAACTGCTTGACTGTAAGAATGTCAGTCAACTCAGGGGTGTCTGACTGATGACTGGAATGTTTTAGGGGGCAGCCCTATATCTTGAGCTCAGTTATTAAACAAATCTATTGGCCAATATTTTGTTAGCGCATTTTTCTTACCCTTAATTATCAATATCGGCCTCAAAAATATTACCAGTATTGGTCTGGCTATGCTTAATACTTGCTTCCCCATGTCTTACTCGTGTTTCTTCCTACAGGGCCCTCATAGGATCCTTATCTTCTGTCCCTCTGCTGGTGCTAATGTCAGATAGCTGAAATTACAGAACTTCTCCATTTCAGTACAGATGACTTAACTAAAATTTGCATTGTGTGACTGGCAGACGCAGACCCTGGTTGAGGCTATCCACTCCAGCCTTCTCCTGGATGGAGAGACTGTGTACAGCCTGGTGGCCAACCCGTTTCTCCTCCTGCTCGCCAGGGTTATTCTCACCAAGTGCTCCTTGAAGATGGACAGCCTTCAGGTAAAACTGCCTTTCTGTCACAAGCACCTCTTCCTGATGAATTATTGTTTTTAGGAGGTTTTGTTTAACAGTAATTCAGCCCCTGAAAGAACATGTAACCTTTATAATTTTTTTTTTACTTTTTATTTACTTCCTATTTTGAAATTTTTGTTTTTACCAGGTTATGATAATCAATCTCATGTTTTACAGATGTCTGAACTTGAGTGATACAGTCAAAAAAGAAGCAGATAAAAAACCCCACAACTTTATTGCTTTGTATATTTTGCTGGTGTAAATGTTAACATTGTGGTCTCACGATCCAGTCATGAAAAACACTATGGCGCACCAGGCTATTCCTGCTTTATTGCGGTCCTCTTACACAGTTTCGGCAGTGCGTTTCCCAGTGCATTGGGCTGATTCTGATAGCATCACTTCATCAGTATAGTGCTGCAATTGCAGTTACAGATGACAGAATCTACCAATTGCAGTGCTTGTTATAAGAAAAAAGTGTTTTCTATTATGACACCTGTCAGAATTTGTTGAGAGTTGGAGGCGAGACAAAATTTGACGGAGGTGGCCACCTCATAATTCTCTATGCAGGAAAAACCTTGCTACTGTTTATTAAGTGCACAGGAACACAAGTACAGACCCAAACCAAGAACTTAGATTAAGGAGCGATTCTTCTGCCACCAGGTCTGTCTGCAAGCTGCAGCTAACAAAGCCATAGAGACTTGTAATAACAAACAAGAAGAAGAGCCACTTAACAAGCTCTGTTTCTTGGCTCGTCCTGTACATTTTTAAACAGAACTGTGTGTAAATAACCAGAAGCAAAATATAGAGGTAGTGAACCCAGGCAGTCTTTCTCTGGCCTTAGCTCTGCATAAGTCCTAGCCTCTAAAGATCACATTAACGTGAAGTCACTTAGGGCAGAAAGTCAATATTGTGCTGATGTCAGAAGACGTGCTTTGCATCAGCTGTTGGGATGTGGACACAGCAAGCAACAATGCTGTTCTGCTATAGGGGGATTTAGTGTTAATTTGCTGTTAACATGCTAATGAGAGATAGGAGAATTAATTATCAGCAGCACTCTCCTCCAAGCAGCAGGGAGTTTGCACTGTCTAGCTTTAAGTGCATAACCCCACCACTGCTCCCTCCAGCTGATGTATTTTATCCTCCCCTCCTGAACCCAACTCTGTTCATTCATATTCCAACCCCCTCTGGCAGCTGCTCATAGCCCATTGCACAACGGTGAATATGGAGGGAGAGAGAGAAGCTCTGTCGGTCAGGAGACAGGTGTACATGTGTATGCTGACATGATGAATATATGTGTGGACATGCTTAGTTAGAGCGCGACTGTGTGTGCTGGAGGATATTGATTTGGTGAGACAGACAATTAAACCTGCATGTAACCACGCAACAGAGAAAGGGGTCATCTTGCTTTGGAAATGAGGCAGGAGATATCCTCCCTGACACACAAATAAGATTTTTACATGGTTCACTTCCACTCTCCCAGTGCTGAACAAGAACAGGAGGGTACAAGGGATAAGGAGGTTTTGGTGTAAGAAGAAATATAGCACTTATATGGCTGCAAGACATTTTTTTTTTTTTCTCCCTGCCGCTTTGTGTTCTGGTCAGATGCAAAAAAACAAAGGAGTTGGCTGTTTTTAATGCATGGTCAGCACTTAGCTCCAGCATGCAGCACTCTGGATGTTGGTGTTTTATTTGTGCTAAAGGGGCCTTGAGAGCATTTTATATGTTTGTTTATTATGTGCTCTCTGAGCTAAAGGTATGTTGTATTATCAAAATCACAAAGAAATGAAAATAACACGTCCATTTTATGATATGCATGTATTTGATATAAATGTCATATGTAATATTATAATACAAGAAGTTATATTACATTTACTTACTGCACAATGTTAGATCTGCAGGTATGCCTGTACTATTTTTAATTTCAATAATTTAAACTCTAGGCCTGTATTTGTGATCTGCATTGTTCTAAACAAGATGTGTTTGTCAGAAATACTCCTAATACTAAATCGTCCTTTTCATACAGGAAAAGGATCTGGTAAAATTATGTGTGTTGTTAAGCAAGAACATTTGACAGAGTAACACTTAAGTCACCTGAGAATATTTGATTTGTTAACTTCTAATAACAGGTTTAGACGCCAGATCTGGTTGCCATCGAAGATGCAAAGCAGTTAATTTTTATGGAAGTTCTTTGGATGTATAAAAAAGTTTTGCTTAAGTGTCTTCACTTTGAGCATTCTAAGAGTTTTTATTTTGAAGACGTAGACATGTCATTAGTGTGGTTAAAGTAGTCAGATTAAACTAGTCAGGGTGTGTGGTGTGGTGCACAGCGTGTTTGTTGTTTGAGTGCACACAACATGACAACAGCAGTGGAGAAACAAAGAGTACATACACTAGATGTGGTCACGTCAACAGAATGTTGTTTACACGGACAATTTTACTCTTGAAATACAAATGGGTACAACAGAATCGATCTTCAAAATTAAAATGTAGTACAGATGTTTTGTATTGATCCTATTGGCCCTAGAATTGATCTTTAAATGGCTAATGGCTCCATTGCAACTGTGAAGAGCAAGGGTGAGCTTGGACAGCCTTGCCAGCAGCCTCTGGATAACGAGAAGGTGCTACACAGGACATTATTTGTTACAATATTGGCTTTGGGTGCATTAAATAGCATTTTTACATACCGAATAAATTTCTCTCTAAAGTCCAGAGCCTTCAGAATCCGTAAGAGGAAGCTTAGCTTAACCCTATCAAATGCCTTGGTTGCGTCCATAGGTATTATTAGAATAGGTCTTCCATCCTTTTGGGTGGCATCTTGTATGTGGAGCAGTCGCTGCACATTGTCCGATCCATGTCTATTCTTAACGAACACTGTTTGGTCACCATGAATTCACTTTGGTATGCATAATATCTTCCAATATGAGAGCGATTAACTTTGATAAAACCTTATAATCTGCATTTAGGAGGCTGAGGAGCCTGTATGAGTCGCATTTCTGTCTCTGTTTGTTTGATTGATGCTACCTTCAATAAGTCTGGTAAATTTTTTATTTTCTAGAGCTTCTTTAATCATGTTTGTAAGGGGGATCAGTAATGTCTTAGAGAAAGCCTTATTGTACTCAATAGGAAAACCATCCGTCCAGGAGCCTTGTTATTTTGTAGCGAGTTGATGGCTCAGGGGGCCTCCATGTCAGATATATCAGTTTTTGTTTTTTTGTTTTTTTTTAATCATCTTGTAGTTTGGGGAGAGGTATTCCTATTCCCATCCTGCTCAGTTTTACATAGATCTATGTAAAATTGTTTAAATCCTGCATTTATGGATACTGAGTCATCTAGCTGTCTGCCATCCCCTGTTAATATTGATTGTATAAATTTGATCAGACTTATTCTTTTTAATTTGCCAGGCTAATAATTTGCTTGGTTTATTTTCAAATTCATAATAATGATATTTAGTCCTAGCCATTGCTGCTTCCTCTTCATTGGCGGACATATTATTATACAGTGTCCTTGTTTTAGTTAGGGCATTAAAATGTTCTACCTTTTTAGTGGCAAAGTGATGCTGTTCTAGTTTTTTTCATCTCTCTTTCCGATTTAGCCAACTTTCCTCTTACTTTATGGGCACTGTAAGATAGAACATGACACTCATATATGCCATAAGTACTTCCCAAATATTGCAGTGTGTGGAGGAATTGGAATTTGCATCTAAAAATATTTCTATGTTAATCAAGTTGTCTTTAAGATTTGAAGGCAATTAGTCTGGCTTGGTATCTCACATAGCAGTATCTCTGTTCCTCCCTTTAAGTTTTAAAATCTACATAACCATACAATGGGGTTTTAATATAGTAAGAAGAAAGAGAGATGAGGAAAAACATGTCTTCGCATTTGTGTCCTCGAAGTTTTACATCATTCAGTTGGTAGTTTAATGAGTGTTACTCACTTGACAGTTCTTTGAGAAAACTTTGGCTTCAGCTGGAGAGGAGAAAAACTTGTAGGAGCCTTGGTGCTCAATGCAAAGCAGTGCGGGGTGGAGCAGAGCATACTCCACATTTTTCTCCCACAACGTTCTTTTTAATCCCAGAAACTCATCTCTCCTTTGCTGCAGATCTACGCTGTAATCAGTAAAAAAAAGATATTTTTTGTATGTCATCCCTCCCTTGCTTCTCGTGAGCTGGAAGACTTTCCCATTGTCTCTTAAGTTCAGGAATTTGGCAATGATGGGTCGTGGTCTTTTTCCTGATGTGGTTAGCTCTTTCCAGGATGACTGGTGAGGTGAAGTGGTCGTTGCCCAGTAATTGGGGAATGAATGATTCCAAATATCCTACCACATCACGACCTCCTGACTGTTCAGGGACGTTCAATATTCTGATGTTTGATCTCCTGCAACGGTTTTGCAGGAAATCAGTTTTGTCTTTGATCTTATCAACATGGTGGCACATGTCTTTAATATCATCTTTGTTTGTGCCCACTTATATCTCTATCTCCTGGACCTATTCTGACAGCATGGAGAGTGATGTCTCTATCTTGATCAGTTTGGTTTGAGTGTTGGCTGTTTTCTTATCAGTTTGCTTGGTGAGGTCGTCTTTGGTTTCCTGGATAGCTTCCAGAGGGATGTGTCGGCTTCTTCTTGCCCATCCGCCAGTGATCCCGACAGGTGCCCAGTGTGCAAGTGATGCGAGATCCAAGGTGTAGTTTTACTTCGTTTTTTCTTCTGAAAATTGCAGCTTGCCATACAAGAGTTGACTTGGTGTGTCTTCTCTGGTTTGTTGCTTGAGATTATGAGGGAATTAATGAAGGATAAAGTCAGTTTTTGAGGCCTACCACAGAGCTCACTAACACACGTCCACACCCCTTGGCGGCATCCGGAAGTCCCCTGATATTGATCCTTATAACGCTAGAATTGATCTTCAAAACAAAAACGTTCAAATCAATTTTGGTTTTGATCCGTCCACCCCTAATTAATATTCATAAAGTGGTATAGGTGCTCTGGCAAAACTTTTGGTTTGTTGACTCAAAGCTGTTTGATTGTCAGACAGCTCATGTTGCTTTACCTGTCAGATTTTGTAGTAGCAATGTCACTGCAATCCCAGATCTTAGTCATTACTTTGGGGAGTACAATGTTATTGTAACTGATAGAAATGATGGCAAGAGCTACACAAAAACCCCCAAGTTTTAATAAGCCAGCATTGCCCTTTTTAAGTCTCTTGCCATAAGTGTCATATCATAATTATTATGTTGAGTTTTGAACCTCATAGACTCCCACCACTCATGGATGTTATGGAATTTTTTGAGCGCTATCAGGATATTTTACAATTGGGTTGTACACCAGACCACATTTTCGAACATTATAACACCTATATAAGATCATATTATTCACATAAAGGAAACCAAATATAGAAAACATTAGTTGATATAGAGGCATCAGACTGACTGATAAAAATGTCCGAATTTGACACCAGAGTTTTTGTTTACTCTTCCCATTGCCCTCTCCATGACTTTTTTTAAATATGTATTTCCAGCTGCTGCCCTGGTGGACCCTGCGCTACATCAACCTGCACCAGCAAATCCTGGAGGCCCGTTCTCCACAGCTCCTCAACTTGGCCCAGAGCAGCATGGACAAAGGTCTGTGAGAACTATAATGTAGATGCTGCTGTACACACACAATTGTGTACTTTTGCTTTGGGTTTGTTTTTCACAGTGTGTACCAGGCCCAACAGATTTGCAAGTCTAAAGCTTATATTAATACTCATCAAGTAATTACTCTATATGAATGTTTGTTCTGTGTTGCACTACAGGAATGGTCATTTAATTGATAGGTCATCCACACATAAAACAGTAAACAGTAGCCTACGTTTGATCAAATGAACATACTGTTATTGCTGTAGAATTTTTTTTTATCAGTGCACCATCATCAGAGCTGCCAAGCGTCACGCTTTGAGTGTGACAGTCATGCAATTTGACCCATTCTCACACCACACGCCACACTTGACATTTCTCACGCTTATATTTCCCCATTCAATACTCTGTATTTATTTTTTTCATGATAATAAACTTTGGTCCTCGCGGCTTGCCGTAGTTCAAGTAACTCTGATTGACTGACCGAGATAACCAATCCCAGACCAATCCATCAGTCCTTTGTGCCTAAATCTAACCAACCACGGAAGGCACCACGCAATATAAACCAATCAGAAGCAACGTAAGACGGGTCTTGACGTCTCTAACTATCTTTCACACACAACAGCGCCGACATTTAAAACCCACTCGACGTTCTCCTGCTTGCTAGAAGACGGACGGTAGGTAACTACCCAATTTTGTTCACTGTTGATTCGCTGTTTCTCCTTGAGTTTCCTAGTTAATATGTACTGTTTTAAGGCTGCTATAAGTCTATCATTGTCCTGTATTTGTTGCAGAGCTAAGTAACATTTATTTGCCTCTTCTCTTGGCCAGTTCACACTTGAAAAAAGAGACTCTAACGTTAGTCTCAATGTGTGTGTGTGTGTGTGTGGGTGTGTGTGTGTGTCAGAGTTACAGACTTGTAAATATCAATTTAGACCCCCCTAAAGCAGTGTTTCTCAAAATTCTATATTTCAAGGTCTATCCGTAACTCTGACAGTGTACAAATGGAACCACATGGACCCATTGGGGTCCATGTGGTTCCATTTGTACACTGTCAGAGTTACAGACCTTGTAAGGGTCAATTTAGACCCCCCTAAAGGAACCCACAGAGTCCCTGGAATCCACTTTGAGAACCACTGTAAAACTAGCATTAGGAGGCCACAATGCAGAGAGAGCCGCTGGCATGGAGGTGAGGACATCAGTCATAAGGTATAAATCGACGTTAAAACAGGCCAAATCGATGTTAAAAAAGGCCAAATTTTTTCCAAACGCGTCATGACACTAAAGTCTCACTCTTGTCATTTTCTGAAACTTGGCAGCCCTGCATCATTGACTCAACTCTGGAGACAGTTATTTTTTCCTGTTGCCACTATACTGGAGAAATGGGTAGTTAATTTCCTAAACAATGTTTTGCATTGTTGGAAGTTTTACACAAAATGCTAACGTTATTAGCGCAAGCCTATGGCATTTTACATTGTATAAATTAGCCTAGCAACTAGCAATCTTTGGTTGTCTCATATAAAGCCAGGGACAACAGCAACATTTAACAAAGGTAAGGGCACTCAGTTTGGCTCCATTACAACTCACAACATTAACCGACAAAACAACTGTCACACTAGAAACATTTTCCAAACAAATACAACATGCTAACATTATTAGCGCCAGCCTATGGCATTTTACATTGTATAAATTAGCCTAGCGATGAGCGGAGATTTCCTCTGTTCATATAAAGCCAGGATAAATCCCGAAGTATAAATCCCTAAAGAATAAATCATATGCAAGATTTAAAGCTATTTTTTTTATCTTCACAATTTATTGTTTCTTATCTGTGAAATAAAAGTAAATACAAGCTTTGTTTCCACTGAGGGAAATGGTGTCAGTATACAGAAACAGACTATAGATCTGTGTCACCGTGATGCTGAGCGTGAGGGTGGGCGAGTTCAACGTTGTGTAAACAAAGAGGGGGATTTGAAAACACACCCATTTTCACAGGTAACTTAGCCTGTCCCTCCCGCCACAGGAAGTAATGGATTAATCCTGGAAAGCTATTGATGTAGCACTTTTCTCCTTATGAAAGTAACATGGCGATTATTCGACCAATGAGAATTTGGTTGGACGAGAGCATATCGACCAAATAATCGACCAGGAGACTACAGCCCTACAAGCTAGGTATCCTCCTGTGTGCTGCTGACATTCTGGGACACCGCAACCAATGCAGAGACATCACCAAAAGCACATGGTTAGGTTTAGATAAAAATATCATGGTTTGGCTCTACATTCATACAGGAAGCGAACAGGCTTCCAGTTGAAAGAAGGGGGTTTGCTGGACCTATCTACCTCTCCTCCCTCCTGCCATATAGGCACTTTCCAGTCTGCTAACTAACTTAAGTCCCATTTTCACCAAACACTTTTGGTATGGTACCTTTGGAACCTGAAGTAACCCTTCAGACATGATACCTAGACCCTAGCATTTCCCCCGCAAACAGTACCCTCAAATGTAGGCGGGGTTGTTGTTACTTACTGCTCCGTCCAGCCCCCAGTGTATTTCTTCATTACCGGTGACACAGATGGAAGCCTGCACCTCCTTTTTCACAGAACGAGGCTGTAGTGAGAGTCTCTCTCTGAGGTATTTAAAAAATAGCGGGTTTGTGCATTCAGTCCTTTTTTTCAGGCAAGACCAGGGGTGTAGTGTTGCTGGAGCCCACTCCGCAACGCTTGTCTTTCCTTCGAGTGAGGATAAGAATATATGCAGTTCACATAATCCGGTCAAAATTAATAGATACAGTATTTTTAAACACTTGAAGATCCACTCATTACTAAAAGTGTTTGTCATATAAAAACTAATGGAATAGTCAAAGTTGTCACAGTTTAATTTGGGTTTATTGATTCAGGTCGTGAACTCGTGCATTAAGTATTACAAGTGTTGGGAATCAACATATATTTACCTCACACAGTGGCACCAAATATGTTGGGGTCAACACACTAGGCTTCACACGGAGGTATCAAATATGTTGGGGTTAAATTGGCTATCGGAAATAATTAATAATTATTATTAATAATTAATAATTATGTTAAATAATGTGACTTAATTAACATTAAATCACCTTGTGGGGCACCATTCCAGTAAAGGGAAAAATGATAGCCAGTTAAAGATATCAGTCTCATAAAATAGGCTAAGCTATTAATTTGGAGTTTGATTAATAATTAAATTAATGACAACAACCAAAATTAACGGTAATGCCTGAAGGATTTTGGAGTTCTTGATGCAGCAGAGGCTGACTATTCATTCACCCTTGTGCAACATTAAACAGACAGCAGACATGATTCCAAAGAATTATATTTATTCACAAATTAGCAGAGTAAACCAAAACACACAAATTCTAACTAACTATATACAAGCTTGGTGTGTATGTGTGTGTGTGTGAGAGAGAGGGAAAAGATAAAGACAAAGGCGGGTGTGGTGATCAAGTAGCCATTTGGCCTACAAAACAAAATGGCTGACAACAGAGAACTACCAAAATGGCCGAATCAAGGCTGCTTCCGGTCGGGGGAGGTGTTCGTCTGACCATGTGGTCAGGACAAAGTCAAAGGAAAAGAAGCGGGAACTTTGAAATGCCTGTTTGGATGTAGCTCTGTTGAAAACCTATTTGTTAATGAGTCTGTGTCAATGTGACGTGTGTTGCAAACGGTCTGAATTAGTGCAGAGATTGTTTAGTTACATGCAAGAATCTATTTGTGAACAGTATTAGCAAACTAAACACTTAACTGTGGCAGAGCCAACTAATCAATGACCTAACTGCAATCTATCACAACAATAACTCAGTAAACAGCATCAAATCACATACAACAAGTTAAACAGTCTTGCTTAGCCTGTAAAGCTGTGATAAGCTATGCCCAGTTGTTACATTACCGATCCTTGAGTGGATGGAAGAAAGAGTCACTTGGTGGTGTGCTGCTGTTTAGCCGGCAGAAGAAGGCTGGGAAGATGGTTCCAGGTGCAGTCTTTGTTGGGTCCTTTGTTCCAAAGGTTCTGATCCGAGGAAGCCAGTCGCTCGGGGTCCTCCTCGGGGTTTGCTGGTTGCAAACCTTGTGTTTGCAGGAGAGTCTGTGATCAATTGCCCTCCCTTTAGTGGTTTGGGCTATGGAGCCAGGGTTTGGGCCTTTGCTGTTCCAGGCCCAACCGGGAAGAGGTGTGAGCTGCTGAAGCAGCTGGAGCAAGAAGAGAGAGTTCTGTGGAAGGGAGCAGATCTTGTACAGATGCCTGTGACATCACAGAGTCACATGTCACTGTAAAAGGTCTTGTCCAATCAAGTTTTGGGACTTGAGTCTCACTGAGGTGTGAGGTGAATCCCAACATAAGTTAATGTTACACCTTAAAAGTCGCCGGCAGTCGACTGTGAATTAAGTTATTAAGTCATTCTCTGATTTTATAGTTACAGTTTACTAATAAAACTCTCCACGGTATTAACAGTGGTTTCTGCCTCAAAACCAGCCACAGCTCAGCCCTGACCAGAGTGACAGTCTGCTATTGGCCAATCAGCAGACTGCAGTGTTCACAGCTCCACCTTGTAGTACCAGATCTGTGTGCTAGGTGCCCCAACAGAAGGGTTACCAAAACTGGAGATGGTATGGAATGGTTCCATCGGTACTATCCACAACTTTTTACAGTGGAAACAGAAAAAAAGCATACTGTACTGTACTGTACTGTACTGAACTGAACTGAACTGAACTGAACCATACTGCTCGGTGGAAATGGGTCTTTAGCACCCCTGAGCTGTAACATTACAGCTCAGCTGAGGAGGATGTCATTTATGTTTTTATGCCCCATGTCCATGAGTAAATGCACACTTCCTTCTGCGCAGTGATACGGATGGTGGATGTAGTTCATTAGAAAGAAGATTGTTCCTACATTAAATTGCTCGCAACAAGGTCTGTGAATTATCTTGAGTAACCGGGTCATGATTTCGGAAAAGAGACATTGCTATTGAGTTTTTCAAATGTTTTTG